TACACCTTGATATACGTACACTTCCATAATCCCATTGCTCCCTGAAACTGCTCATTGATTGATTTTCTTGCCGAATTGTATGAAATTGTGTATTGAGAAAGGTGCAAAAATATATGCGAACATTTGCGATACGTTGATTTACCTCGGTAACAATAGAATCATAGTTTCCTTCCACAACAAATTCCCAGTTACTGCGTGGAATATCGCATCGATATTCATATTTGTCGTCACCTGGTTTAAAGGTTCCGTTCAGTTTACAGGACGTAGCGTTAGTAGTGCATCTCCAAGGAGGCTCGGCTGTGTTGAAAGTCATTACCATGAATGTAAGGGAGCATGAGAACATGGCATAGGCCATGATGAAAAATAACCTTATTTGGTATTTTCCAAAACCTCCTGATTGGATAAACTCTTCTGAAGTCATGATGGCCATTATTCTGGAAAATTCAAAACATTAACATGATCACTAGTGTATCGCGTTTTGACGAGATTATTCAAAATAGCAAAAGCGAAATACTAACTTCACAGCATCAGTCATCCTCACTAATCAGCATTCTGCAGGTWTATCATGACACCATTTTCAGCATCCCATCACCATCCCTTATTAGGTCTTATTACCATTCTCATACCTTCACGTTATCCAGCATCACTAATAGACTTCACAAAATCTAATCTTAACAAATCACCACCTTTAAACGGCAAAATAACTGGTGGGAACTCGCGGTAAACTAGTGCGAGCTGATCACAAGCGTATATATGCTCTTCAAAAACTCATACATAATTAATGAGTTACTAGGGCAATACAATGAGCCTATTTGGTCACATGCATGGACCTCTGATAAAACACTCGACTGTCGCACCTCATTGCTTTTTGAATRATATTAGTCGGTGGGAGGATAGCAATAGGACACAGGAGGCCCAAATTATAGTCTDAAAATGAGCGAAATAAATAAGAAAGAGTTACTTAGAAAGTAAGCAGCAGTTAGGACGGCCGTTAGGGGGGAGTGACCTGGRAACGAACGTCCTAACGGCTGGAGAAGAGRCTACTTAGAAAGCCATAATTTAAWTTTTTTAAATTACTATTTTACATCTCACACAAGCTTGGTAGAAAGATTGGCTTTTTTGAGTGATAGTTTTTAGCAATGAAAAATTTCTCACGGAAAGGCCCAGCATGTGACATTGTCTAGCGTTATACGCTTGTTAGCTAATACCATATATGGAATACGTATGACAACCCCCTACTCCTCTCGGTCCTCCCCAATCAAAAGAACTCTGATGCCTGCAGTCTTTTACACGCATTGTTGATTTTAACTCTACAGAATATTCATACTGATTGAATAGCTTTTCATGATAATTTAWACCTAGTGTAGCTCAAGTTTAAAAATAACAAGGGCATTCTGAAGACAGCACATTACCGAGATCTACCGTAAGTGGAATGGGCCTGAATCCAAACATGGCTGCTCCGGCCACTTTTGTCGTTAAATACCTGGGAGTGTAAAATGAGTGTGTCATGTTTAAGTTGCTAGAGCTTTTTTACAATTACATTAAATGACACTATTGGGAATTTGTGATATGTGTAACTGAACAAATGACCGTCAGGATTTCATTATATTTGCAGTGGCCTTAACTCTTATTTTATTAGAGATTGGATATTCATCGAGTTAGAGGTTGAGTTGAGTTTGAGTTATCGTTGAGTTAACATTGAGTTAGCCAAAAAATGTAATTCCAGCGAATTTCTATATATTTTGATAGTATTATGACATTTTGGATTCCCAACACGTTAGTTCAAATCATCTGTAAAACCACGAAGCCGCAACTGAAAAACGTATCTATTCAATCAAGCTAATAAACATTG